AGTGAAAAATTCTGGACTCGAAATATAATTTTCTGATTCATTTAACGCCAGATATCTTCTCGTTTGTGAGTTTCCAGTTACATTTAAAATGATCGCCCGTTTAAATAAATATGATTTAAGAAAAAAAGGTTTTCATTATAAAAGCTTGAAAGGATGTTCATATTGTAAATATATTAAGCATTTAATAATCACACTACGGTGCAGTTGTCTGCGTGGAATAAACGTTATATTTATTTATTAAGGTCTGCTTGTGAGGGGTGATATTGTAAGGTAACTTGGTGCTATGGTTACCGACCTGAAAAATTATATTTTGCTTCTATTTTAATAAAACAATTCGAACTTTGAATGAAACCACGACATTATATCTTAGAGATTACGAGATAAGTATTAAAAAATAATATTTTTTAAAAGAAATTGTAATTGACATGTAAAAAGACACCACGTACATTGCGCCTTAAAAGGACTCTCTAAATAACTACATTCAATTTCATTATTTCTTATTTCACCTAAGACAGGTTTTATTAGAAAAAAAATATGCCTAAAACATTAAAAAAAAACGAATCATTGTTTTTGCTCACTAATTTATGAACGCATTTAGAAACTATTGGCTCATTGTGGTTTCATATTCGTGAAATTCAATTCCATTGTTTGCATTTAATTACACGATTATCGGTAAACTGAAAGTATTGAAACATAATATTTCTTTTTTAAAAGAACATTATATTTATTTATCATTTAAATTACGAAACGATCTCTGAAACATCTCTGAATATTGTCCTACAAATTATTCATAAATTGTATAATTTTTTTATTTACTCTGAATCGAACAGAAAAATTGAGTTTTAAATTAAAAAACGATTGTAATAAGACAAAGAACAACAGAGTGAATTAAAAATAGTGCTTGTCGTCAGTCGAAATAGTTAGAGCGAGGGGTCGTGATAAAATAGCTAAAGTAAGTACGGATACCGTAAGTTAAGTCGGTAATAAAAAGTCAAAAAACGTTACAATTGCTTGTTCACAGTTTTTATTTGAGATTTAAGCAAACTTACCGAGTTAATTCAAACCAGTATTTTGTGATTTATTCATAAGAATCTTGATTAGCTTACTCGTTTATATAAATTCATTTATTGCTATGTAATTTTATCTCCGCAACTTATATTCGTTTTAAAAGATGTACTAAATGTTACAGATTTTTTCATTTAAGAAGAATATATGAGGTTTTTTTTTCATATTATCCATAGCATGATTCTCATTACAACAAGTCATTAATGAGCTTTTGTGAACTTTAAGTCAACTTGAGGGTTTTGAATGATGTTGGACTGGAGTGTTTTATAATTAATAGTCTTGTAGAAATCGGTTTTGTCGTATATTAAAAATATTCCATAATATTCAAGAGGTAGATACCCAGTTTAAGTATAATTACGTACACTCATTAAATGTGGATTTTTTATTAATTCAATTAATAAACTAATTAATTATCAGAACATAATGATAAATTTATAAAATATATGTACATACATTATATAATATTCAAGCGATACCGTATATATGTATATATATATTTATGCCTGAAACTTATTATGATTGATGATTGTAACAAACAATGTATGCTATTGGTATATGAAAAATCTTTTCCACCTAATTACTAGTTACAAAATCGATTAATGGAAATAAAATAATAGTTTCAGTCAATGCACTACTTACGAAAACATTCCGGTCATTGTGTCCCCTTTTAGATCTAGGGTAGGGTAATGAATGAGGGTTATAATGTACCATGTAACAGCGGTGAACTGCAATATAATATTGAGAGTAGCATTTCTTGTTCTCTATATGATTTATTATAATATTTTATTATATCATCGATGTATTAAGACTAGTATATAAATTTAAAATATCTCAAGTCGTATGTAATAATAGTTATTGATACACTTTATCACTTTAAGGGCTTATATGCATTGAGTTACCCTAGTTAAATGAAACAACGTAACTATTTGAATAGGTGGTTTGAACTGGCGCTAATTATGGTAGAAGAGTTGAACTTGCGGATGCAGAAAGTTTTTAGTGCAAAATTTTGTCGTTAACCTTAATAAAATAAAAATTTAAGGCACTATTATATTTTATTCTATTTCAAGCGTTTTATGAAAACTGTAGCAGATGTGTATTATTGTTTAACAGATATATTATATTTTTTTAATTAAGAAAATTTTAAACTTGTAACAAAATATAAAGCGACGATGTGATATAAAAAGGAGATTTTGAGGTAACTTTTCAGAATCGTACTTCTAAGTACGCTTGTGGAAAGTTTAATTGCGATATATCATGGAATGAAAAGTTGTATAATAATATCTCAGAAAATAGAAATTACCTTATTCTTTTTTTATTACGAGTATCTCATGTTTGTTGACTGTTGAGACTGGTAAAATTTTTATTTATGTGATTAAATATATCCAGTTTATGCATATCCATTAACTCAATGTACGAAATATATATATATATATATATATATATATATATATATATATATATATATATATATATATATATATATATATATATATATAATTCAGAATTTATTTCAATAGAGAACTTTTGGAAAATTTATATTATAAGGATACAAAATGTGAAATATTGTAAATTTTCAACATTTTTCGTTCCAAGGGAATTATGTACATATATTTTTAAAAGTACTCACATTATAGTAATAACAACTTCACTGGCATTAAATGCAGTTAAAGCTAAAGTCATATTAAATATAATTGACGTACCAAACAACTGTGACTTTGACAGGTCAGGAAATGTAGGAAAATACATTTGAATAAGTCTGGCGAAATACTATATGACTAAGATTATATCTATTTTGTGCTCGTCTAGTTTCTGGTTGAATACAAAGTGGGAAAGAAATTTTAAAAAGAAATTGTAGCAATATCGAAGACATTCGATAACTTAATAAATTTCAGTTCTCATGAAACCTATTTTGTGTTGGCATCGAGTAACTAAAACGATGTGATGTCGTGTTTCAAAAAAAGTTTTTCTCTACTCATGAACGATAAAATGAATCAAACGTCCAAGATAATTATGAAAAAGAAAAATAAACTGCCGCCATTAGGGAATTTAAGAAATAATATCACCGAATTTTTATCAGAAAATAGACTTCAAAATTTCCTTATATTTTTTCTTTAAAAAGTTCATTATTAACTAGGTTCAAAGATCGAAATGGTAACAATTACAATCGAATGCAAGCTTTTAATTCTGTTTCCTAATTAATAATATATCTGATCCGTATTAAAACTGTGTCAACTCCAAAAATTTTTAATTGTTGTGATGAAAATTTTAACTATAATATAAAAAAGACTGCTTATGAAACTTTATCTGTATAGATTTTTTATAAAAAGATATTTGTTTATTCTGATAATTTGAAAACTTAATACAGGATTAATTTCTTGAGTCATTAAAGTGATTAAAAATCTTAATGACATATTACTTAGTTATTCGATTAATTAAAGTTATGTAGCGTGATGATGATTGATTTGAGAATTAATTAAAAAATATAATAAGCTAAATTGTTTTTGACATCATTTTCATACTATAATATACTTCTTCCAATATCGTTTTATTTCTATATGTAACTTTACAATATATGTATCGTTTTCAAGTTATGGCTTCGTCTTAAAAATATACCCAGACTAATGAATGGAATACAGAAATAAAACAGTTAAGTCTTGTAACAAGACTAACTTTGTTTCTACAAAACTTTTGCTTTTAATAAAAACTTACTAAAAGATAAGTTCTGTAAAATTAACCTGGTCATTAGTTAGTGAGTTAGTTAAATCAAGGTTAGCTTATCAATGAAAACCTCACTAACAAACCCACAACTTCTAACTTTCATTCGATGAAATAGTGAATATTGCAATTTTCTTATATTTTGTTAATTTTGAATAATGGTCGAGAGATAAATTTATTACGAATTTATAGTTACGTATGTTATTGGAATAATATAAAAAATCCAAAATTATTAGTTTCTTTTTATTACTTTAATTAGTTTCAAAACTGTACGATGTTATTATTCATATGAAAGTCAATTAAAAATAAAATAACTTTGAAAGCTTTTTATCGAATGTAATACTTATATGCTTTAATATAGATAAAATAAAAATCATGTATTTACATTTGTAAGAAATATTTATGACATATTGATGTTCAAATAAATTTAATTACTTTAATACTTTTATACAATTTAGTAGTAAATCTTTTAGTTTATTTAGCTGAAATTTAAATTTAATTAATTTAATTTTTAAATTAAATTGTTTATTATAATTAATTGATATGCTATATGTATATCTGTCTATACTTGTATGTATAACAAGGAAGACATCGAATACTCAACACTTTAGTTTCGGTGAAATGATAATTTTGTCTCGAAATATATTATGCGTCGTCTGTTAAAATACCTACGTCATACAAAATTAGAAGGTCTTAATCTGTTATAATAAATATATACAGCAATGAATAATGTTAAAATATAGAGACAACTTAATTTTTTTTCCGGTACCTATTTAAAGTTTCGGTTAAAATATGACGTAAAGGCTATCTTCGCCTTAATGGCGGTTTTTGTGACATTAATCGGCGACTAGATAGTTCTTTTTGTATATGTCTTGGCGGCATTTCAAATGGTACCACAAATAAATTTAATCAAACAAATTACCCGAAACCAGTTTATTAGAAATATGACAGATATTTCACGTTGTGGTTATTACCGTTTAGTAGTGTCAAATTTATATGTTCATTCAATCGAGGAAAGTATTAGCGCGTGCTTTAAAATAATAGTACCGTTCGGCAAAACTTTCAATTAAGCTGATAACAAATGTTCAAGCTTCAAACTAAGAATGATTGTATGCGGGATGTTTTATGATAATTCGCAAAGCAGATATATATGTAATGTAAGTAAGTGATAGGCTAAGTCAGAGTTTCGTAACAATATACTGTAAGCGGGAGGCGCAACAATGATAGCCGGTATGAAAAAAGTCACCCCGCGCTTTGTCCGTGAAACTCCAAAAAGTTGCACTGAACTCATGAACCTGTCGTTTTGGCACAGGTCGAACGGGAACCACCTGGGCAACGGGCTAGTGGCATGGGAGCCGGGCTCGGCGAGTCCGCGCTCATCGGGCGCGGCTGCCGGCGTGTTGACGTGGCGGGCGAGCGGACGGGGCGCCTCCACGCTACTGCGGCACGCGTCAACCCGCGCCTGCCCCGACCACGACGCATCCCCCACCACACCGCGACCCGAGCACCCTGCCGCACCACCCGCACGCACGCCGCATTCCTACAGACGCCACCCGCCCTGCCAAAACTCCGCACAAAGGGCTCCGGACTTAACACTCTAACACTTAGACAGTCCGCACCACATGTTGCACTCGGAATTGGAGCCGTTCCTTTAAAATCACTCAACTTGACCGAAAATTAAATAACGTCCAAATTCTTCTGCCAAAGGAACCACTCGCTCCGCTGAGTAATTAGTGCAAAATTCAACAGTCAATTTCAACGGGTTAGTTACAATCGGGCGCTGCGGTTGTTTTCGAATTCTACTACCTTTTTGGCAGCAACGCAAACAGAAGCCGCTTCAAATGTTTACTTTTGCTGATATTTAAACATCCGTTCGTTCACAACTTTGACGAGAATTTATGACATGAAATTTAAGGGCATGTTTTCATTTCCACTTCGCTAGCTATTGGCTTAGAATATTTATCTTCGTTTCACACTATTAAAATGTACAGAGAATATTCATTTATTTTATAACAAATAATGAATTTAATATTTGAAACTAAAATGGAAATTTCATTTAGAATGCACAGAGCACATTAGAGTTAATAATTGTTCTTACAATTGTCGAATAATGGTTCACTGGCTAGAGGAAATTTCTGCAATACCGAAAGCTTTCAGTTTGCGATTCTACCGTCATTATCCATAGAGTCAAAGCTTTCCTGGAGGATATTAGAATAATTAAGGTTGATGTTAAGGGTTTCGTTTTAGTCAAAGAGCCATAATTTAAATTTGCCATAAGTTATATACCTTTAATTAATATGTATAATCCGATTTTTATCTTCTAATTCTAATAATGATTTGACACTACTGCAAGTAGGACTCAACCACTCTATCACTCAAAATTGATACCGTAGTGAATATAACAAAACATAAGACTAAAATATTTCTATTTACGTACCTACTTGTGAATATTGTTGCGTCCAACATGACGTTATATACATATACAATTTTTTAAATCAATTAATAAAACTTTATTTAATAATGACAACAGACATATAATATAACAAAATTAATTTACTAGAAAGTACAGTTTTATAGCATATTCTAAATATTTATCGAAGTTTTGATGTAATTTGTAGTATGTGAAGTTTTAACAACACAGTCCTTTATCGGATTTATTTACGTCGTTACCAAATCAAATGACCTCTAAATCTAGAAAAACGTTATAGTTAGTAAGGCTAAGTACTTGGAAGATTCTCACTTTAGATTCCTGTTTAAACTTCATCCAAAGATCCCAAATAATTATTCGATTTGAACACTAAAATCATTTAATAAAGCAATAAATATTCTTGATTTTGCTGCAATTGGAAATCATACACTAGTGAACCAGTACTCATTTCAATTCTTTTTCATACAGTAATTGGAGTGCCTGATTTTAGACGTAATAGAGCGTTAAAAAAAGGTGAACTGAGGTTTAATCGCTTAAACTGAAAAAACGAAGGTCATCTCCGAGAAAATTGCAGGTAAAGAGAATGTAATAAAAGGAGTTAAGTGTTACAAAGGCGACGAAGTTTGTAATGAATCATTGATATCAGATTTAATTTGAAGTTGTCATCATCATTTCTGCTTTTACAATATTTTTAATATTAAAAATAACAAATATATTATTGGAATATTTATTATAAATTCTATTTCATACTTCTGTTTAATGATCTAAAAACCTATGAAAGGACCAAGGAGGTTTGATCTATATAAATGTTTTGAATTTTGAAAGCTATAAATAGATTTATTTGTTAAAAATAATTTTTATTATACATACAGATTTTAATGTTGTAACGTTTCTCGTAACAGGCTGATGATTTCACAATTCATTCTCAGAAAGTTAAGTTCCAATAATCATAAAAGTTTAAATAATTATTCATGAGTATTTTAAAATTATACATTTTGATCATTCCTTTATCGGTGGTTTTGCGTTCGCAGATTTGCTTGAACTATACGTTCAAATTAAATTCACTGAAAAACGATAATTACAGACATTGAATACTCGTTAAAATTCACTCATTTTGCTTATGTTAAAACATATAGATTAGTCCAATGTACCGTTGTCAAAGTGTATATGATTATTTTAGTTATAATATAAGTTTTTTTCATACATATGTACAAATGGGTTCTAACACACTTGACTTACATCTTGTGTAAAGCGTTATTGAAAGGTACTAATCTTTTTAGAAATTATTATTACTTACCTCTCCGTAAAAACATTTTATGCAAGTATTTCATTCCTTCATTTGAACGTCCATCCATGAAAAGTTGATTACCGCGAACCATTTCTAACAAACTTAAATTGGAGATATAAAGTCCAAATTCATCCGAAAATCTCATTGTGAATACTGCTGAAAGAATTTTCATATTGCTGACCGTTTCCGTAATTTATCCTCATCATCCGAAGTTAGAAACATTACCATTTGATAATATGGGGATAAACCTCGAATTATGAATAAATATATCGCTTAAAAATATCTTCGGGCAACATTTCACCTAGAGTAGAGAAAGTATCTTAATAAAATGCAAATTTACGTAAAGGTAAAGGTCAGAGCAGAACTCAACCTTTAAGATTAACTAAACTCCCCAGATACAGGAAAATTGTGAAGTGTTTTAACGATACAATTTTATTGTTACATTATTTTGTGGTTACTTTTAGTACTCAGTGCATTTCCAATTGCATGTGAATTGATAGCAACGTAATGGCTAGATACACAACGATATACTAAGTAAGGAGTACCAGAAATACTTATTGTCCCATAATATCCATATTATTTTATGCTGACCACTATACAATGTTCTAAAATTTCCCTATTCAAATTATTTAATACTATTGATTACATGTAAGTTACATTGTACATTTCTATATGGCTAATCAATTGCTTTTAAAAAGTCACAACATTTGTGATTTACGAAAATAAAGGTAATATATTTCTTCGGTCTAGTCTCTTGTAAAAATTTCTTCTGATGATATTGTTTCAACATTTTAAATTCTTCTTATTGGTGTGATAGATTTTACAGTATAAAATTCTTGAAACTGAAATATATATATTATTATTGTATACTATGTATATATATTAGATACAAAGATATATTTCAACAGAAGATCCACTGTTATAAATTCAGACAAACATATTCTCACCGTTCTATTCACATGACGTGCAGAAGCGTCCGAATCAATCATATGTAAAAATCGAAGATTATTACGTGGATACAATTTGATCATACACGTATTACAATATTTGAACTCTGATCTAATTAAAATAATTCAAGACATTCTATCGGTAATCTTTAATGTAAGCGTTATTTTATTTTTAATTGAATAATTTTGCTGCATTCTGTCATTTGATAAATTTAAATCGTTTATGCACTTTATGATTGTGAAACTTCTTTGAATTGAAATGTTACAATTTTATCAACAATTGTTGCTTTATGTGTTAGTTCTGAGTTTAATATTGCCTTAAATGTCTTATATGTGGAGCGTATCAACTTTGTTAATAATATAGAAGTAATCTATAGCTTTTATCTACGTGATAAATAATTTTATACAGTGAAAAGAATCTTTTATCATTAATTGTTTGTAAGTATTGATATTCTTTTCAGCGTCTGATAATACAATTGGCGCCTCAAACAAATAACTGTGTTTTAAAATCTTTTTATAAATCATTTCAATTTATTTGAGTTTAATCTCATATTCTACAGAACTGATAAAATGATTAACGTGCATTAACCATAAGTGAATTGCAAGTGAAATTGACAAAAAAATGTAACTTGAAAATAGACAAAAAATATGAAATATATGAAAATGACCCAGACAAAATTGCCGACATATGAATCGAACCCATTAACCGACTGACATTGAAACGAAAATAATTTTCAGACAAAAAATAAATTTAATACGAACGGTTGTAGACGTGGGATACAGAAGCACAATATTAATAAAATGAAAAACGTAATGGGTTTAGTTTATTAGCAGAGGTGCAGATAGAGATATACATACGTTGTATTTTGACTTTTGTCTTGATTTTATTAAAAAAACCAATGAGTTAATGTAGAGGAAACGTTCTTTTAAAATAGAAATTGGTATTCTCTATAAAACTATATGAATATAATTAAAATTTAAATAAAAATATTAAACAACTGGTACACGGTGTAAATCAATTGATTGTAGGTTCATGCTAGGACATGAATCTTTACTGGTGAAAGGCTGGAATGGGAAATTCCTTACATTGTAGGTTCGACTTCTCCTAGTTGTGATGAATTTTTCATAGAACAATTCGTAATTAAATTTTAAATCAAATATTAAAACAGCTACGTATGATTTGATGTCAAATAAAATGAAATAGGTTTAGAAAAAGGATAATACTTTGAATAGGTATGTGTCTATAGTACACAGATATTTGATTTGTATATTATCAGTATATTTATGTGAAAGACTATAGTTATATTTTATCATTTACTTTATAATAAAATGAAATTTCTTACCAATATGTCACATTCTAACAACACGCATAATTTTGTACCGACATGTTACAAATGTAACTTCAATGACCATAAAATATTAAAATTTATATACAAATTTATTCTATTAAAGAGTTTCGAAGTTTGATAGGAGAATTGTGTTAATAAGTTAGATCAGTCCATTTGTAATATTCCTTGATTAATCGCTGGAGTTTAGAGTAACTTTTTTAATTTAAAACTTTAAAATTCCTTAAACTTTCCCACATATTAGAGACCGTTCGGTTTTTAGTCCCCTTATTGACATTGTTTTCCTATAGTCATTCCCCCATTGGATGCGACAATAGAAAACTATTGGGGTTGCAGAGATTTGTTCAATTATAAAACACAGCAAAAAAAAACTCATTGGATAATCTAATGTTGGAGTGTATGAACTCCTTTTATACCATTTTGATTTCAGCTTATTTAATTTAATGCTATATATATAGAATAAAACAAAAGAATAATCTAAAAGACATATAGACATAAAATCTATACATTTGTATACTTTATATTGTAAAGTTCAGGATTATCGTAATATATTTTATTATACTATCATACATTTTTAGTGCGTTCACTGTAA